GGGAGTTTCAAACAATGCGAACAGACCTATATAATCGAGCGAGCGTCTTCGCATTCATAAGCATTAAAGATCCTCCAATAAGAGTCTAAAATCGCAGTTTTAAAAAACTGTGAAAGAGGACATATATTTATTATTTCTATCTTATTCCCATCTATCTTTTTCGTATCTCTCTTAGGAATTGTTAAATAACGGACCAATCAAAAGTGGCTTTCTAATGATCAGAATTCTTATTAGAGGGTCTGTAATAAACGCCAATCGGTAAATCGAGGCGAATTACATGAACACATTGTATTGTTTTGTATGACACGTAAGATACATAACACTAGTGAGAATTGTTTGTAAATTGTTCCAATTTGTTCCGTTGTCCGCGTTAATTGAATAACTAGGTAAGGAGAGGGAAGGGGAAATTATCGGTTTTTTTGTTACGTAATTTCAGGTCCTTGTTATCTTCTCGTGCGACTCGTGCAATTAACCGGTCGAGATCGTTTTTGTTTGTCACGTTATTATGCCTGTTATCCGTATCACGTGCACCATATTTACAGCGACGTTTTCGACGGCGGTTAAATATAGAAAAGTGATCGAGGTCGCGTTATGAGAGGTTCGGGAAAGCGTCGGCCATGACTGTTACAGCGCCGGGATGAGAAAAGCGGCGAGACGTCCGCCATGATGTTACCTGACTGAAATTTCTAGACGCCAGGCGTAATTATCTCACGACGAGAGATTGTCCAGATTTTCGTTTATTGATTTAATAACGTATACGAATGTGAATGAGCTTCAATTTCGGTTTAACTGCTTTTTAGTTTGTATTCTTAACTTGTGCTAAGAATAAGATAAGATGAATAAGTTAACCCTTCATCAGCAATGTTTAATTTTTAAGTCAAAATCGATTTTTTAATTGTGAATTTTGATATAGATAAATTTATCAGAAAAATAAATAAAATACAATCCAACTTCTATAATAGTAAAAACTCGTTTCAAAAAAAGCCTTCAGAAGTATGTAAGATTTGTTCAGATTTTTATACAGTCCAACATGAAAATTTGAGTATTTCT